TGTAAGCACTTTGAGGTCTGCCTGCCTGGTTAACTGACCCTTTTTTGTAAGCACTTTGAGGTCTGCCTGCCTGGTTAACTGACCCTTTTTTGTAAGCACTTTGAGCTCTGCTTGCCTGGTTAACTGACCCTTTTTTGTAAGTACTTTGAGGTCTGCCTGTCTGGTTAACTGACCCTTTTTGTAAGCACTTTGAGGTCTGCCTGTCTGGTTACCTGACCCTTTTTTTGTAAGCACTAACGATTAATTATTACATATATTTTCACTTGACGAGTTTTAAATTTGTGTTAAAAAATACGAAATTGGGTAAAATAGAAAATTGGAAATATAAAAAAACAACAGAAGTATGATCTCAAAATATCAGCTTCACGCACAAAGTGGGTCAAAGTATCGAACGGCTGTTAATATTTAACGATAAGTTAGTTAGAGAACTACCATTGAACTGCCACTTAGTGTTTTATTTTAGATCAGTTTTGGATTACCGTGTATTAAAGTAAATAGAAAACATCGGATTCTTGAGAAGAAACCGCTAATGTTTAGGATTAACTCTTTTTTTTTTTTGCTTACCGGAAATGGAATAAGCCGTCACCATGACAACCATAACTACTATAAGAAGCACTGTAACAGTAACGGGCCTGATAAACATCGTTATGATACCAATACAGCAGAAAGAACTCGGAACCTGTAAAAACAAACAGAAGTTAACAAGGGAATAAACACTGGGAATATGAGGAGCAGATAAAACTCGGTACTAATAAAAACGAACATAAGTTAACAAGGGAAGAAACACTGGGAATATGAGGAGCAGATAAAACTCGGTACTAATAAAAACAAACAGTAGTTAACAATGGAGGAAACACCGGGAATATGAGGAGCAGATAAAACTCGGTACCTATAAAAACAAACAAAAGTTAACAAGGGAGGAAACACCGGGAATATGAGGAGCAGATAAAACTCGATACCTATAAAAACAAACACTAGTTAACAAGGGAGGAAACACCGGGAATATGAGGAGCAGATAAAACTCGGTACCCATTAAAACAAACAGAAGTTAACAAAGGAGGAAACACCGGGAATATGAGGAGCAGATAAAACTCGGTATCTCTAAGTTAACAAAGGAATAAATCTAGGTTTAATTATAATTCACATAATGTTATTTGTATGTTATTTATTATATTGTATTTGTTGTAAGCAAATATATGTTGGAGAAACAGAAACATATTACATAAATTTCGTGTCAAGAATGCAAATAATAGCCTACCACCTGTTAACAAACATATCAATAAGAGTATCATGGAAAACTATCATACTTTAGAAGAACCTGTTTTCCAAATATTTCTATATTGGTATTCTTGTGAAAATAATAAGAGATTATTTTATTAATAAATTTAAAACCACATTAAATGTTACATAGTTTAACACACAGAGGGCGTTTAAATACACAACAAAATAACGCGGAATGTTTTACATTGTTAAGTAGGCCTTCCTGGAGAGAGTAATATTTCAGAAACTGAAGAATATCCTGGAAGATACGAAACCTGGATTTCTGCTTTAATGTATGTGTGTTTTTATTTATTTCTTTTGATTAGCAGTATTAAATAGTTATATAAATATTTTTATATTATTTTATTTCTGTTAATCACTTTAATGAGTAAAATATATGTAGTTTCAACTAAGAGTTTATTGTGAAATTTTTAAATTTCAACCTGAACTCCACCTTATGCGCAGATGGTCAGGTCAAAATGCCTTAGAGATCAGGAGTAACCATTCCTAAGTTTGAACAACTGACCAGAGGGCAGTGAGCCGGTAACATCCGCCGCCATAACGGCTTTGTCCTCTGTTTTTTGTCAATTAATGGGATTGAGTGTCACTTTTATAAAGCGTTCTTACCTGAAAATGAGGAGCGTGTCCAGCAGTATCGAACCTAGAATTAATAACCTCTAGACATATTGGCCAGATTTGCTTAGAATCGGATTAATAAACAATAATGTAGGGGAAAAAAAAATCCACAAAGTGAAATAAAATTGTACAGAATGGCTTTAAAATTTTAAACATTTTAAGAATCACTTACCAAACTAACTTCGAAAATAATTCGTAACTTTTTAACTCCATCTATAATTTGAATTTGTTTTAAAATCTTTATAACTTGAACGTTAAATTCGTCTCTGTATAAAACATCACCGACTAAAGTCGTGCTGAAAAATTAATTGTACTTACACGAATCATGTTCAAGAAACACAAACTCTAGAAAAAATGGCAAAAATCCAGGCTTCGATTCCCCGTGTCAGACAGAGAGTAGATAGCCTACCGTGTAGTTTTGCCCTAAAACAAACAAAGAATTTGTTTGTTTTTTGAATTTCGTGTAAAACTACTCGAGGGCTATCTGCGCTAGTCGTCATTAGTTTGGAAGTGATAGCCTAGAGTAAAAGAGTAGCCCAAGAGTTGGCGGTGGGTATTGTTGACAAGCCGCCTTCCTTCTAGTCTCTATCACTTCAAAATCAGGACTGGCTAGCGCAAATAGACCTCGAGTAGCTTTTATCGAAATACAAGAGACATACAAATCACAAGAAACGTCCATAAGTATTTCCGTATGACATAGGTGTGCGGGTTTAGGAGAAAAAAAAGAAAGAAATTACTCAGATATCCACCTATAAAGACGTCCCAGAAAATCACTTCTGATCCACTCTTAAAGTATTGACACGGATATATATATACAATAGTACTCACACGCTCCTCGTGCTCATAAGTTCAGCACTTGTGTAAAGATTTGGAACTCGCACGCGGGTAGTAATAACAACTGGATCACTTTGTCGGATTTATGTTGTTTAATCAGATTTTTGACGGTGGTAGCTGAAAAGTTTTATAAATATCTTTATAAATTCACTGTTGGGGACAAGTGGTTATTTTTGGGACTCTAGACACGGGCGTCCGCAGAAGGGCAAGAGGAGCAACCCCCTACTTTGCTCCCCTGGAAAAATTTTTTGCGGACGCCCTTGCCCCTGGAATGCAGGAATATTATAAACACCACCTGTCAGTTTGTGAAATAACTCGTCAGGTAAGAGGGAATATACACCTGAATTTTAACGTTATATACCTTTCGTGATATTAACTAGAACTTGAGGGACACTTAATGGCGGCTGGAGGAGGGGGGGGGCATTATATCTTCATGTTTGAACTGGTTCACTACTTTCTACTGTAACAAGAGTGTCTTTACAACAAAAACAACAACAGCAGCAACAACGTAAAACCGAAATAAAGGCAAAGCTCGTTTGAAGAAAGGTGAAACGGCCAGCAACTGGTTATTCAGCGCTTCGCTTGTTAAGAAACTCTTGGAAGATTAGTCTACAAACGCAGCACAGATGAAAAGAACGACGTTTCGAAAGGATTCGGTCTATTTTTTTTTTCAAGACTTTCTCAACAAATGTCACTCTAAACGAGGCAGTTGCTACCGTGTTGGTTTATCATGAAGGCTCTGTGACGAATGGAAAACTAATCTTTAACGTGTTACAAACTAATAAAACTAACTATGTTACTAATATAACTACTATGTTACAAACTAATAGAACTAACTATGTTACAAACTAATAGAACTAACTATGTTACAAACTAATAGAACTAACGGTGTTACAAACTAATAGAACTAACGGTGTTACTAATTGATAGAACTTGTTTTAAACGGTGTTACTAATTGATAGAACTTGTTTTAAACGGTGTTACTAATTGATAGAACTTGTTTTAAACGGTGTTACTAATTGATAGAACTTGTTTTAAACGGTGTTACTAATTGATAGAACTTGTTTTAAACGGTGTTACTAATTGATAGAACTAATTTTAAACGGTGTTACTAATTGATAGAACTAGTTTTAAACGGTGTTACTAATACAGAACACTTGAATATATTTCAGTCTTGAAGAAAGGGAGAAACACAAACTGCTGAAAATTGTTGGTTTATCGAAGATGGTAAGTTTCAAGACAAATTACGTATGACTTATGAAAGTTTGTTTGTAAATTTAGCACAAAGCTACAAAGCAATGGGCTATCTGTGCTCTGCCCACCACGGGTATCGAAACCCGGATTCTAGCGTCGTAACTCCGCAGACATACCGCTGTGCCACTGGGGGGCTACTGATGAAAGTTTGTTTCTTTGTAAATTAAGCACAAAGCTACAAAGCAATGGGCTATCTGTGCTCTGCCCACCACGGGTATCGAAACCCGGATTCTAGCGTCGTGACTCCGCAGACATACCGCTGTGCCACTGGGGGGCTACTGATGAAAGTTTGTTTCTTTGTAAATTAAGCACAAAGCTACAAAGCAATGGGCTATCTGTGCTCTACCCACCACGGGTATCGAAACCCGGATTCTAGCGTCGTAAGTCCGCAGACATACCGCTGTGCTACTGGGGGGCTACTGATGAAAGACTAGGCTATTGGACTTTCACCAAACCAGACAATACAGAAGAATGAAACACAGCTACAAGAGCTCTCAAAAGTAAGGCTGTAAAATAAATATGAAGTCTACTATAAAACCACCTAGACTAGTGCCGGGTAGAGTAATTAACTTAGTCGAAACTTAAAAGCTTGCTCAGTATTTCCCATTAAGTTATTTTGTGCTTTAGTGAGAGAGCCACGAAAACAAAAACTCTCAAGTGTTTCATCCTCTTGTCAAAAGCTATTAGAACACAATCCCCAGGTTTCCCTCTCTCTGTGTGGACGAGTCAGTTTACATTACTATCGTCAGTGAGCTAAATCGACATAACGGAGGGAGTACGTTAACTAACCGAAACAGCAGAGAGCAAGTATCGTTTCATGATGATCGTGTTGATTTGATGGAAACATGCACACGAAGAAGATGTGGATGTTTATGTTACATGTTGTGAACAAAAGTTGGGTTTTATTTTAGCTCTTCCAAAAGAAAAGGACAACATAACAAGAAATTTTATCAGCCAACCTTATTTTCATTGTTTTGTAAGCCAACCATATTTTCATTGTATTGTCAGCCAATCATATTTTCAGTGTTTTGTCAGCCAACCTTATTTTCATTGTTTTGTAAGCCAACCATATTTTCATTGTATTGTCAGCCAATCATATTTTCAGTGTTTTGTCAGCCAACCTTATTTTCATTGTTTTGTCAGCCAACCATATTTTCAGTGTTTTGTCAGCCAACCTTATTTTCATTGTTTTGTCAGCCAACCATATTTTCAGTGTTTT